AAACTATTTTCATTGTTTTTTATTCTATTTTCCTTTTTTGTACTGCTTGGGTGATCTCTGCTATCTTGTCTTCTAAGTCACTGATTTGATCCTCTGCTTCATGAAATCAGCTGGTAATTCCTTCGAGTGTGTTCTTTATTTCTGTAATTGTGTTCTCTAGTTCTAACTGCTTGTTTTTCATGATCTGTATCATTCTTTATGTTCTCACTAAGTTCCTTAAACGTTCTTATCATCAGTGTTCTAATCTCTGCCTCTGATAGGCTGGCTGCCTCTATTTCAGCTAGTTCCACTAATTCTGAAGGTTTCTTCTGTTCTTTTATTTGGGATGTGTTTCTTTGTTTCCCCATTCTGGCTGACTCTTTGTGCTTGCTTCGATGTATTAGGTGGATCCCGTAGGTCTCTCAGTCTTTGCTGGTTGGAGTATGTGATATGTATCCTTCATATTTGAATTGCTCAGTCTGCTTATTCTCCAGTGCATGTGTTCAAGAGGTGTCCCTTGGGTGTCTTCTCCTGTTGAAGTTTGACTTTGATTGATTTTGACTTGTCACTAGGTGGGGTTGACTCCCAGGCTGACTAGCTGTGAGAATTGGCTATGTCCATAGTGTATGAGCTGCTCTATGAGGGTTGACCCCTCAGATGAGGTTTGGCCACTATGGGCTCTTGTGCCTGTAGAGAATTCCCTTTGGGTGTGTTTCTTGTATGTCAAAACTGATAATGCTCTGGCTTCATCTAAGTTTGCCTTTGGATGTTATGATTCTTGTGCTTTAGGCTGGGCCCTAGTGCAGCACGATTTCAGAACAAAAATGAATCAAGAAGCACAACAACAACAACTACCAAAAAACCCGAGTACACTCACACATAAAACAACCGACAACAACCAACACTCAATATGTACAGAAGTATAAAAAATACAAAAAAGAAAAGCAACAAACAAAATAGCAATAACAAAAAATTAATTACTGAAAAATGGAAAAAAAAGAGGAAAAGTAGAGCAGGGAAAAGAAAAAAAAGCAAGGGAGACAGAAGTGAGTAAAAAATATATACATATAAGTCTACAAACATATATATATGGACACACACACATATATGTATATATATATGTATATATATATACATATATAAAAACGTAAAATGATAATAAAATAGAAAAACAAAAACAAAGAAAAAGAATAAAACAAGAACAAGTGCAACAGTCTTGGCTTAAGTCCACCAAGCTATCTCCAGGTTGTCCTCTGCTGTATAAAAACTCCTCTGCGTCTTGTGGAGGCAGAGCTGGCCACCTGGTGCCAAGAGTTACCGTCACAATGCAGTTTTGAATGAGTGGAGCTACGGGGTGTAGTTGGTAGTTTTTACAAAGTCAGTGCAGTTTCCGTTCTCGCCTGCACAGACACATGCTGACAGCACAGCAGCCAGATACCAGGAGGTGGGCTTCTTCCCTGTGTTCAGGTCTCCTGGGTCTTAGGGCGTTCTTTCCACTGGGGCCTGTGAAGGGCATGAGATTTCTGAGCTGCTGAAAGCCCAGTGCTGCCTGTGCCACCTGCTGCTGAGCCCTGCTTGTGACTCAGCAGCTGGAGTTGCCCTCCAGGAGCTGCCCAGGAAAGGTGGGGGCTGGATAGGCGGTCTCACACGCATTGCAGCCTCTTCCCCAGGTCAGAGCTGCAAGCTGGTTATTTCCATGTCCTGAGGGTTGCAGCCCCTCTGTAACCTGACACTACTCCTCCGTTCAGGGACTAGCTTAAGACTCTGGAGGGGCAGGCGTAAGATTGCTGAGAGGGTGGGAGTGGGGTCCTGGTTAGGAGTTGTTCTTGCTTTCTGTCTGAGAGAGCCCAGCTGCAGTTTTGAGCTGAGGCTTCTGCCTCAGACACTGGGCACCACCGTGCTCTATGCTGAACTCTAGGCAGGACTGTGGGGCGTAGGGAGGGAGCCCCTTGTCTTGCTGCTGTAACAACCTCCGGTCTGCTTCCTGGGGCCCTCTGTCTGAGCAGCTGCGGATGCCGGCTGCGTCTCCTCACACCTCCCTGCCTTCTTCCCTCTCTCGCCCTGTTTGCCCACCTTCAGGTAATCCTCGTGCCGGTCTCTTAGCTGTTCTGTGTGATGAGCAGATATTCCTCTGATAAGTTATAGCTGTTCAATCTGTGGTGACTTCCAGGGGAAACTCAGGAAGCCCACCTCACTGCCTCCATTTCTCTGACATCACCAAGAAACTTATTTTTTGAAGTCATTGTGTTACCAACAACGTTGGTGAGTTTGATGCCCATTGGGCACAGAGAAGCCAAGTCTGACGAATCAGGTTTTCACACAGAAAAGAATTATTCATCCAGCTGCTAAATGAGGAGACTGGAAGCTCACATCAGACTCCCTGAATAAAGACTTAGAGAAAATTTACGGAACAATGGTAAAAAGAAACTATACATATTTATTAATTCTAATTTGAGAGTGTTGATTAGACAATCTTGGAACTAAGTCATCTAGAAAATGGGGGAGGTGAGAGAAAGTGTAAAGGAATTCCAAGTTGGCAAGGGTTGATTGGGTGGGATCTAGGTGCCTGGATAAGTGCACATTTCTGAGCACCCCTCTCTCTGAATATGTACACAAGGACCAGATCTGGATACAGTTTCTGGCTAGAAGAAAATTTTGGTTCAGGCCCTCATCAAGTTTAGTTGGAGTTCATTTGTTGGCTTTCTGTGCCTGGGCAGGCCTCTGGGAGTGGTGATCTGGCTTGGTCTTGTGGTCCGTAGGGCTCTGTGAGGAAGCCTGCTGTTATCTCTTAAAAAGAAAAAAAAACCTATTGCATCTAGTTTCAGTAGAGTCCGGTTTCAATTACATTAGGATTTGTTCCAGTTTTCCCCCATTCCAGTGAGAATGTCTGTAACTTGAAGCAAATATTGCTCTTGCTATCTTTAAAGAGATTCTTGGGTCCAGATGGCAGCATACAAAAGGGGGGAATTTTCCCAGAAAATTTGGGAACATCTTTAGGCAGCCAGGACACTGGAAAGACTTTCAATGTCGTGACTTCACAGTGCTGCAAAACAAATGGTATAAGTTCCACAAGATACAAAGAATCAAAAAGATGTATATCATACACAGTCTTCTTCCAGACCCTGTGTGCTCTCTTACATTGCTCTCTCCTTAAAGCCACCACAATCCTCTGAGGTAGCATGATTTCTACTTTATGGATGAGAAAATTGGCTCTTAGTATGTAGCTGATCTGTGTTTTCCAGTATCTGAACCCAGGTCTCTGCCTTACAAGATTTCAGAGGGAACACATCTGCACTCTGATTTGTCTAAATAACTTTAAACACGTCCATACTCAGTGCCTGATGGATCACAGGATTATGTGGTCTTTAACGAATCATTTTGTCCAGAGATTCCTACGCTTGGTCATAGGTGAACAAAATTTTTGAAAAATAACTATATACTTTATTTTTCCTAGGAGAAATATTTTCAAGTTACCTGTCAGTTGCTGTAATACCATTCCACAGAAAAAAGGATATTTTAACCCCCGGAAAATAGAAAGGAAATAATTCATTACTTCCTTCATTCAACACATATTAACTGAGAGTCTATTTTGAAAAATTACTTAAAGTCTCTACAAATAATACGTAAGGTATACAGTAAGTGAAAAAACATGTAATCAAGAAAATATATTAAAGTAGGCAAGAAAAGTGAGACTATTGAGTATCTGAATCAAGATTCTCTAGCCTCGCCCTTTCCAGCTAAAGACAAACTCCATCCAGACTAGTGCAGCCCCGAACACAGGGCTGCCTCCTGCCCCAGCTCCCAGTTGAAATGTCATTTCAGGAATTCTCAGCTTACCTGAAAGTGCTGTTCCCCAGCTACATATCCTTAAGGAGCTACCAAAAAAACATAAAAAAGCATATTCATTATTGAGCCAATTCCAAAATTAATTAATGTGACTACCTCACTAGATCAGATTGTACAACTTGGTCATAGTATTGCTTTCAATCCTCTGGCTCCGAGGTTGATGATGATGTGACTTTGTCACAGCACCTTCCATTACCTCCATTGTCAACAGCCATTTTCCCCTCCCATAACATTCAAGTCATGTGTATGGTGTAACGGAGCAGCTGGTATTTTGGGAGTCCGTGTGTGTGTGTGTGTGTGTGTGTGTGTGTGTGTGTGTGTGTGTGACTCTGAGAGGATCGTGTATGAAGACCCAGCTCTGGGGGCATCAAGGACTGTGAGTGGAGCAGCAGGAGTCTGTGGGCAGGCAGGTCTCTGGAAAAGGGAGGCATTTAAAGCAGAGTCTGGGGAGCTTCTAATGGCTCTTTCTCTAAGGTGGGCCTCTAGGGAAGAGAAGGGGCAGCAGAGGCTCAGGGGGAGCAAGGGAGGGGAGCAAGGGAGGGGCTGTGGGAAACGCATCAACATTTAAATATCTGCTCATCATTCAAGAAATGTTCGCAGTATGTCTCCTATGTCCCCAGCTGTCCTCCTCCTGGGACGCCTGTCATGAGAGGAAAAGCAGCACCCGAGAAAGGGCTCTGCCACCTCAGCCTTCCTTCCCAGGTCATAATCCCCCATTCCATCCCTTCCACTCTGTCACACACAGGTTCAGAGGGGGAACAGCCCTCAACGCAGCCAATCCCGGACTTCTCAACATTACTTGAAAATGTGGATTCTTTTGGTCCGAAGAAGCCTGAGTGAATAAATAATCTAGAGATGGTCTCCAAAGAAACTACCCACTCAGCTGCCACTCATTCAGCCCCATCTGCCCACTTCCTCCACAGAGGCCGTACGACGCAGTGGACACCCTTGAACTTCCTTGATCGGGTCTATCTCTTACAGTAACCCACACACTTCCTCAGAGTTGAAACTTCTTAGTGGGATCCCTGAGACACCTGAAGGTGTTGAGAGATGTGTGTCACATTCTCTTAACTCCACTTGGGCCCTGACCCTGTGTGACCTGTGGGATGGCCCCTCCTCCTGACCTGGCCCCTGTGGGACAGCCCTTGGCCTGCCCTCCCTGCCCAGGAACTTACAGTCAGGCCCTCAGCTTCCTGTGGACATAGATGGCAGAGACACCAGCTGCCAGCAGCACCTTTGAGCCTAGGAGGAAAGCAGTGAGGAATTCAGTAGACATAGCTGGGCCTGTAAATAAGAGACAGGAGGAGCCATTAGAGGGGCCATTGGTTGTAGGTTTTGGTTCAGATAGATCAAGTGATTCTCAGTGATGGGTGTTTTGTAGTTTAGTTGTAATTTTGTTGTGGTCATGAGGATAGGTTAGCACAGATTTTACCTACTCTGCCGTCTTGACCAGATCTCTGTCACTCCTTGGCCTTAGGCTTCCATTATGTACATAGGGGGTTGGGCTGGATGTTTTAAAGGTCCTCTGTGTGCCAACACTCATTCCAGGATTCAGGATCCTGGGCTTATGGCAGAAAATCCTACATAAGCATCTTACTGCTTCAGTGGCGTGATCCCTAAGTCACTCACATGGGGATTCTCTTCCCTGGGTGAGACATACTGTGAGATGACCCAGTTCTGGTCAGAGGCTTCAGTGACTTTGTGACTCAGTCCCTAAAGTACAAGATTTTTATTTGAAGAGAGCCACGGCGAGTGACCTGCCCATGCGCACCTCCTCCAACCAGGGCTGTCAGAGCAAATACGGTTCTGTGGCTCTTAGGAATTTCTTCTCAGTGTGATGGTTCTCAAGTTGAAATAAAGAAACACGTTCTCCTCCTCCCTGCCTCCAGGTGGATTTCTCCTCCCTGGAGGGAAGAGAACGAAGCTCATGGAAGAGGAGGCTTTGCCTGCTCTGTTCACTGCAGCTGTCACAGCACCCAGAGCAGAGCCAGGCCCACAGCGGGTGCTCAGTGAGTGTCAGTAAGGAGAAGCCCGGCTACACTGAGGGGAGCTCTCTCTGGAGGCAGCGGTGAGGTCAGCCCATGACGGGCAAGTCACTCAGACTCTCAGCTCCCTCATTACTGGAACCAAGGGGCTGGATGGGATTGGAAAAGGCACAGACTGTGGAGCCAGGCAGGTGATGATTCTAGACTTTTCCCACCATTTACCAGCCGTGGGGCCTGAGCAAATAGCACAACCTTTCCAGGCCTCAGTGTCCCTGATCTGCAGAAGGGGTGAAACAGACCATGAACCAGATCATGACTATACACAACCCGTTTGACACCTGATTCTTATTTGTTGCTCAAATAACAGAGGCTGCTCTTATCGACTTGTTGTCACACATCAGGGATGAAGGATCCCAACCATACTCACCACTCACAGTGAGCCGAGTGCCTGCTCCAGACTTAAACTCCTTATAGACAGGGTCTTGGTCCCGGAACTTCACACAGTAGTAGGTACCGGTGTCTGCTGGGCTGATGTTACTGATGTGGATGGAATAGTCAGTGTTGTTCCTCTTTCTGGAGTCTGCAGCATTTGTTACTCGAGGGAAGTTAATTGCCTCACTTCGTGGGAAACTGTAGATTAACTCCCGGCCTGACCCTTTCCCCCTGAACCACCGGAAGGGCCCCAAGGGGGACACGGAGGTCGCGGTGCAGTTCAGAGTGGCCGTCTCTCCGGCTTCAACGGACACCGACCTCTCAGGCTGAATCACCTGCAGCTCCTTCTCACCTGCCACTCCTGGAGGGAAACAAAGCAGGTATTTATTCATCCTTATGTGATCCTGTAGGTTTTGTCAAGTGTTCATCAGCAACAGCTTTCACTGACTGAGCCCACTCCATGTGTGGGCCTTGAGCTCAGTACATTGCGTGTGTCATCGTGTGGAACCCTCACAATAAGCCTGTAAGTGAGACCCATTACAAATGAGGAAACTGAGGCACAGAGAGGTTTAAGTGATGTGGCAGAGAATGGGTGTGAGTGCTGAGCCCTCTCCGGAGGTGTCATACTTCCTCAAATATTTCTGCCTCTCCACTTGATGGGGTCATGGAGAGTTGTAATTTTGGATGTTTGCATCGGGTGGCATAATGAGAACTCTGAGACCACTGAGCTGCGAGCAGAGGTGATGAATGTATTTGTGGGATATGCGTTTAACTGCAAGAACATCTGTGGATCGACTTCCCTCTTCCACAAAGTTCCACGTGTTGTGATGTGTCTGCTCCATCAGCCTGGAAACCTGAGTGACAGTGATGTGCGGAGCTCCCAACACACAATGAGCTTGTCGTGTAAATAGAGTGTGAAACATTATTTCAAGTTCCTGAGAATCCCCCCGACCCCCCATAGCATAATTATGTTATATTAGTTTCCTAAGGCTGCTTTAAGAAAATACAAAATACCTCATGCCTTAAAACAACAGAAATTTATTACCTCATAGCTCTGGAGACCAGAATGCCAAATTTGTGTTTCTGGGCTAAATTCTGTGTCAGTGAAGCTTTATTCCTTTTGCATTTTCTTGCCTTTCCAAATTCTTGAGGCTGTCTGCATTCCTTTTCTTAGGGTTCCCATCTTCCCATCACTCCAACCTCTTGTTTCCATTTTCACTTCTCCTATTAACTTGACTTTTGTCCCTTTTTTTCATAGGGACCCATGGGATTTTTTAGTATCAACCTGATAATCCAGGAAACACTTTCCATGCCAAGAATCATAACTCACTTCTCCAAAATCTGTTTTGCCATATGAAGTAAAATATTCCCAGTTTCGGGGTGATAGGACATGGGCGTCTTTGTGGGGAGACTATTGTTCTGTTACCACACACATCTCTCTTGACTGTTATACAAACCAGTTGCTATAACAAAAAACCTATAAATGGGGCAATGTCACACAGTATGAATGGCAAGACAACTTATTTGCATTTGTAGAAGAATCATTCTAGCAGTGCAGTGATGTAACAGTTTGTAAAATAAAAGTAGAAACCAATTTAGAAGTTACATGAGATATTCACAAATACAGAGAAATCAAACAACACACCAAAAATACCAATAGTCAAAGAAGAAATCACAAGAATATTTAGTGAATATTTTGAGGCTACTGAGAATGAAAACACAACATACAGAAACCTATGATGCAGCAAAAGAGGTGGTAGAGGTAACTTTATAGCTGTAAACGCAGACATTTAAAAAGGGAAAAGATCTTAAATCAGTAACTTCACTATATACCTTTAGAAATTAGAAAAAAGAAGCAAAAATAAATTGAAAACAAGGTAGCAGAAGGAAGGAAATAATAAAAAAAATTAGTGCAGAAATAAAATGTGAATAGAGAAACAATAGAGAAAATCAACAAATCATGAAGATTCTTCAAAAACACAACACAATTCACAAACCTTTAGTAAGATTGACTAAGAAAAACAGAGAAGACACAAGTAACTAAAATCAGACACTCCTAACAATTTTACAGAAATAAAAAAGATTACAATAGAGTACTATCAATAATTATACACCAATAAATTGGGTAACCCAGATAAAATAGACAAATTTCTAGAAACACATAACTTCCAAGACTGAATCATGATGAAATAGGAAATCTGAATAGACCTATAACTAGTAAGGATAGTGAATCAATAATAAAAAATCTCCCAACAAAGGAAAGCCCAGGACCACTTGGCCTCCTGGGTAAATTCTACCAAACATTTAAAGGAAAACTAACACTAATCCTCTTCAAACTGTACAAAATAATTTAATATGAAGAAAGACATCTTAACTTATTCAGAGTCATTCTGAAATTTCTCCTCAGGCCAACATTTTCCTGATAACAATACCAGACAAATGCACTATAAGAAAACTAGAGACAGATATCTCTTGTGTATACTGATGCAACAAACTTCAACACAACATTAGCAAACCAAATTCAACAGTGTGCTAAAACAATGGAAATGGTTTTAATTGAGATTCACCCTTCGAATATAAGGATGATTCAACATACAAAAACCAAATAATATATTATACTACATTAATAGAATGAAGAGAAGAAAAACTATGTGATCATCTCATTTGCTTCAGAAAAAGCATTTGACAAAACTCAGCATTTTTCATGATAAAAAAAAATCAGTAACCTACGAATAGATGGAAACTTCCACAGATTTATAATATTACATATGAAAACCCACATCTAATATCATCCTTGATGGTGAAAGTCTGAAGTTTTTCCCTAAGATCACAAACAAGACAGGGTTGCCCACTTTTGCCACTAATATTCAACACAATAATGAAAGTTCCAGGAAAAGCAATTAGACAAGAAAAATTAATAAGAGGCATTCAAATGGGAAAGGAAGAAGTAAAACCCTTTCTGTTTGCCGATGACATGTCTTGTATGTTGCAACACTAAAGATTATACAGGTACACACACACACACATACTAACACACATACACACGCACTCACACATACACTCACACATACACACCACACACACACCCCACACACACCCCACACAACAACACACCACACCACACCACACCACAAACACACACAGTCTATTAGAGCTAAAAAATGATTTGCAATCTGTGGCATACAAATCAGCACACAAATCTCCGTTACATTTCTATCTCATTAGGTTGTTGTAAGGATTAAATATGTGAAGACTTAGAACAGCATCTGGCAGAGTAAGCGCTATAAGTGTGTGCTATTATTATTACTAGCCATACTCCTCTGTTAAAGAAATCT